TTAGGTGTGATCGGCTTCAAATAGGTGACTGGTCCGGACACAAACCCCATACTTTCGAACTTGTTTTGCAGCGTGGCCAACTCGGCCTTGGCCCTAGTGAACTCCGACAAGTCTCCTTCCCTGGGTTAATCTTCCTCTTCTAGGAAACTCGCAGCGAACTTTCGTTCCATTTCTTCCGCGGCGGCCATAATCTGTTGCAGCGTATAAGTGATGGGGGATAACTGTTTACGCAGCTTCACCCTAATCATTCTACTGCGAAGTCTCTTCCTACCTGTTCTCCTCGCTCATTTTTCACGAACATTCGATAGAATCTATTACGGTATTCCGTGACGGATTCAAGAGGTTTTTGAACCCGATCTTTAATCATGAAGAGAGCCTGCTCGGGATGGATATAATCAAATCGATTCAAAAAGTCCCGCTCGAATGTCGGGAGATCGATCCAAGCATAGGTACTAAACCAATGATGTGCATTTCCTCCTAGTCGGGCGGGGATGTTAATCTGTGCTTCATCATTATCATACAGTTGTGCCCGGAGCGTGGCCAACCATGCTCCGGCGAGATGATGTGCTGGGTCAAAAAGGTAGAGATCGGTTGGGGCCACAGGTGCCCGCGCTCGTGGTGCAGGCACCGTTTGAGCTTGATTGGCGTTCATGTTGGTCACCTGCCGAGCACCCGACCTATTCCTTGTGACTATAGGATCACGTCGCGGTGCGTTCCGTGCTAAGGGGCGTCCTCTGTTAGTTAGATCGCTCTACACTAATTACCCTCCTGTCAGCCTGAAGCCCGCCACGTGTCGGCTCCGATACCAACCTCACGCCCAGCGCGACTTCCTGATCGGAGTGGGATGGGGGCCCGGAAGTGCAAAAAGGGGTGTGCCAAGGATTTTTGGAAAGTGGGGGTGGAGTCCCAGATCGGAACTGAGATCTCCTGTGGCAAGTTTCAGGGGTACAGGTGTAAAAAGGGGATATACTCAGAGAGGGGGGGGGGAAGCAGTTGTCGTGCAGCATAAGGCATATGGCATGCGCGGTGTGTCCCAGGGCAAAATCCGGGCCACTTGCTGTTACCATCGTACCGACAAATCTAAACACTCTTGCATTCTTGAACAAAATTCCAACAAAATTGCCCCTACCGACAGGTTTTAATTTTTACTGTCGAATAGGCAAAGAAATCACCATCGCCGCTAATTTCGTCTTCGGGGTCGGTCGCAAGGTTCGACCAGTTGTAAGGGTCGCTCGTAGCAGGCCTCAGATTCCGCCGAGGTGGGTCGTTGCTCAACTTCAGTTCGAGCCTGTCGGAAGGTTCCTGGAGCTCGGCGCGCCCGGTGGTGCCAACAACCCTCGCACCGTGGGCTAGGCCAGTAGCGGGCTATGGAATTCCATGGTACCACTGTGAGTTGGTGATAGGGGAGAAGGAGATGAAAGAGAGGGAAATTGGTGGTAATGACCACGAAACCGGGGGATATGAAATATTGCGTGTTATAAGTGTCCGGGTAGTCGGGGCACCTGGGGTCGCTGGTTATGGCACAGTGAAAATCCCTTGGGCATAATCGGTCATTTTTCGTCAGGCAGGGGAATTCCGGATTCATCAAATTTCCCCGCCAACGGAGTTGTTCGTCGTCCCAGTATTCGAGATATTCCGGGTCCCTCAGATCCTCGTAGTCGGATATCCAGGAAGGAAATCTTGCAGCCATGTTCGTTTAGCAGGCCGCATCTTCCACATCCCTACACGAGATTAAGGCCGACTCACGCAGGCGAGTGCGTACGTGGCAACGTCGAGATCGCGGACATACGTAGTCATGGGCGTAAGAAGCAGCCGGTTGGTTCCGTGTGCCTGTCGCATTCAACCATATGCACCAAGATCCTACCAATCACTACATGCTTTACATGTGACGCAAAAAGGGGAGGAAGGAGGGGATGGTTGACGGTTAGACGTCAGAACATCAAAAGTGGGCGTTCCCAATCAGGCCTGATTACATCTCATGCTGGCGAACGCTGGTCAGAGACAACATAGGTATCGCAAAACAGATCGAAAAAATCGCTAACAAAAAGCACCTACATTCATTCTATGTATGCATACCGAGCAAAGTAACAAAGAAAATCCGAGACAATGTACGAGAGAAGTTCAAAAGGGACAGACCATGATAAAGAGATCGACCATATCAGAATCCAAAATTATACAAATGAACAAAGGAAAAATGAAAAGAGCAACAACAAAAAAAAGACCTTATCCCACACCCACATCACTGTTCTCTCTTCCTCTCTCCACTCCTGTTGCGGGCAGACCGTCGCCTCGCACCAATACCCACGATATCGACAGTCCGTCGCTACGTACCCACACAGAGTTGTCACCCCGCTTGGTTCAAGCATGCAAGCCAGGGTCGCCCATGCGCCACAGTCTATCACGGCCCCGCACGTCAACCCCACATACCCGACACCAGCTCGTCGGATCGCCCAACTCTCACACTCACTCACCTTCCAACTTGCTCGTTAGTCGACCCTCACTGATCGCGCTAACCTCGAAATTCTTAGAAAGTAAACTAATCACGCTTACGAAATTTATAGCATGCATACCTGCGCGAAAGGTACAGGATTAAGCCCGGATAGATAAGAAGAGGAGAGAGGAAGTACCTACGTCTGCGTGGCCAGACCGCGGCGTGGGGGTCGTAGCCACACTCCACGCATCGATCCGGTCATGCAGGCGTTTCGGTCAATTAGAACGGAGTATGTAAGACGAGAAAGAAGGAGAAGGAAGGCGGGCAACATAGGAAAGCCAAGAAAGACGAAGGATTCCAATTACGATCGCGCCCGCCAAAAACGAAAGTTGCACAGGATTAAAGGCGCGATCCAGTAAGAACCCAGTTCCCCGCACCACAAGATGCGTGCAAACGCTGCGCAACAAAATTTCGATTACCTAAATTCCTAGCTTAAATCCTAATTGCAAAAAGGAAATACCGGAAGGAAAAATAATTCTGAGAGCCCGCGGGGGCTCGACATCAGCTACAAATTTGAAAAATGAAAATTCCCGCGCGTTAATCGCACCAAAATTCCTAATGCTCACAGCAGAACAAGAAGAAGCTATGGTAAAGTTATTCCTTGCGCCCATCATGGCGCATTCCTCCAATTGTCGGCGCAGGACTTTCCCGGTGCTGACCCCACAAATTTCCCACAAAAACAAAAAAGAAGTGACGGTATCCATGCAACATGCCCAACCGAATCCCGCATACACCCGTTACCCGTCAAAGCCCTCCTGTTTTCCCCCATCAGCCTCACGCAGGAAATCGCGTGGGTGCAGAAGATCGTTCGTCACAGTAGCACCAACCGGGACCCCACGCACACGTGAATAAAACACCAACCGGGACCCCACATGCACACTCTTCGAGTTAACAAAACATACATAGACCATAATCACTACCTTACCCCTCCCCAACCACATCAACAAACAAACGACGGGATGCGCACCCATGCCCTCAGGGTAAGTCAATTTCGCAGCCCGTCGGGGGTGCGTTCCCCCCTCCCCCTGAGACATTTCCCCCACGAAACATTTTTGTCGTCCTTCGTTATACCGGTCGTTGATTCGGGCTCATTTGATAGTTGGAAGGTTCGAAAAATGCAGGCAGGTGCAGGCACGACACTTTGGGGGGGGGTGGCAACTTCTTTGAAAAATGCGGGACCGGTAGCTGCCCGTGGGACAGTGCGTTGGTTTTTGGTGGAAACGGTGGCATAGTAGCGGCTGGGTGGATCTTTGGGGGGTGGTGGTAGTTTCTTTGAAAAATGCGCGACCAGTAGCTGCCCGTGGGACCGCGCGCTGGTTTTTGGTCGAAACGGTGACAAAGCAACGGTAGGGTGGAAAAGTGGGAAAGTCTGAATGGGGGCCGTTTTTCCCCCTGAGACATTTCCCCCCTTATACATTTTCGCCGTCCTTCGTTATACTAGTTGTTGATTCGGGCTCGTTTGGTCGTTGGAAGGTTTGAAAAATGCAGGCAGGTGCAGGCACGACACTTTGGGGGGTGGTGGCAGTTTCTTTGAAAAATGCGGGACTGGTAGCTGCCCACGGAACCGCGCGCTGGGTTTTGATTGAAACGGTGGCAAAGCAAGCGGCATGGTGGAAAAGTGGAAAGGTCTGAATCGGGAAGGGCGCGGCCTTGGCCAGAGGTTGAAACGACACACCTGCATTGCATTTGCAAGTGCAAACATATGTGTCTAACCGTGGACGTATTCAACTCCCCACACGCTCAGCGCCCAATTGAGTGAGTCCCATATGACAAAACAACTTTTATACGACAACAAACACTCAAACACACACATAGATGACATATCGACCAAGATTCAAGGACCACCAGCCTCAACACCAACTACGAATCAAGGCATGTCAAATATCTAATACATTAATACCATACAAATTACCTAAATCCCACACATTCCAACACTAACAGATGTGATATACAAATTACCTAAATCCCACACATTCCAGCACTAACAGATGTGATAAACATAAACACCCTAAGTGTCACACAAACACACACACTTTAATCTTGACACATGCACACAAATACTCCTTTTTTTTCATGCAACAATCACCCTACTTCTAAACCTCACCAATCAAGCCTCTATCAATCAAGCATATACAAACTATGGGCTGCGCAGCCGTGCCCTCACTGTAAGTCAATAGGGGGAAGGCGGTAGCTGTAGACCTTTTTCAACAGGCCCCCCCAAACGGGGAAGAAAACCCTCACGAGACTCCGAAAGATTCCCGCCGAAGTTCCTTGTACGGGGGCTATTAGGCTCAGCTGGACTGTGAAAACATGTGCATGCACCAAAACGGACATGAGAGCTACCTGGTAGACTTAGCTGGACTGGACGTGCAGACGGGTGGAGAGAGCTGAGCGTGTAACGGGCAGGTCAGCCGTACACCTTCCGGGTTGAGATGTGCGCAGGCCAGGATGCGTTGTGTATTCTAACGTGGAGAACATGCGTTTCGTGTTCGTGGTCTTTCGCGTCCCGCTCGAGAATGTCACCCTGATGTCAGCTTCCCACTGTCCTTATTCCCTGCCTGCTCGTGGGTGCGAGAAGAAGGTTTTGTGATGACCAAACACAGCAAGTTGGTTCGTTGGGTGGTGGCATTGTCCTCTCTGTTGTGATGACGATCTTGCTAACTGCAAGTTGGTTTGTTGGCCGGTGGCATTGTCCTGTCGCTCGCTGTTTCCGAGGGTCCGGAGCTTGTGGTTGACTGGCGAGTGAAGGAGGCGGGTGCGGGCGGGCGATCAGGATTGAATGAGTGCCAGGTGCAGTAGCATCCATATCCACTTCTCATTATTGTACCCGAGTGCGGGTTTTGGCGTCGACAGGGCACTGTTCACCGATTCATCGTTGCCTTGAGACATGGCGCAGCCGGCAAGCCTTAGGAATAAATTTGCAAGTGTGAATCTGAATAGTTCCTACGGAAAGCCCGCGGCATCACAGCAACAGCAGCAACAGCCGCGTCAGACCTCACGGATCGGCGTGGGTCACTATGGCGGCATGGTGATCTTGGGGAAAGGGAGGGGTAAAGGAAGCTCTGGCATCGTCGGAGCCGGAAGCGCACCAGGAGGTGCCTTCAGTCAGTTGGACAAGAGCGGAAAGCTGGCGGTTCTAGGACCAGTGAATCTGCCATCCCTGAGGACGGAACACCTGGGGAACGATCCAACCGTCGCATTGGTTGAAAGGGCAGGAGGAGGATGGGGCAAAACTGGTGCGGGGAGAATGGAGGGTGTTGTTGCACCCTCTCAGGGTGTCGTGACAGCATTAGCAGGAGGAGGCGAGAGGGAATGTGATGGGGTGGGGAATGCAGGGGGTGCGGTGATAGGCGCAACACGGGCGGAAGCGGCGCCTCATCCGCCAGATCCGGGTGTTAGTGGAACAGGGCCTTTGTCCGGGAGGTTTGATGGCGGAAGAGGAGTGGTTGCTCCGGCGAGCCGATCACAAGTGTACGTACCTCCGGCAGTGCGAGCGGCTTCTGCAGCGGATACATTGTTGCCGGTTTACCGGGACCAAGCGTCTCGCTCATCGGGTCTGTCGCCTGTAATCTCGACACGAGTGTTGTTCCACGAAGATTTTCCCTCCCTAGCGGCGGCGACTCAGCCGCAGGCTAACCTGCAACGGAAACTTAAAGAACAGCAGGCGCGCCAACGGGAGCAGCACCACCGTGTTAAACTGCAACAACTAAAGCTTCAGCAACTGTCCGAGCAACATGTTGAACACCTTCACGCGGTGCAGCAGATTCAAAATGAGCGGCAGCTGGAGCACCAGTTAACAACCGAGCGAAGACAGAAGGGGGAGGATCCTCAGAAAGGGGAAATGTCTGTACAAACGACGCCTATGGCAAAACTACCACCAAATATGGAATGTGGAGGGCTTAGCCGTGGGAAAGAGCAATCTGTAACGGATGTGGAGTTCCCTCAGGACGATGTTCGACGACCTTCTGTGCCGACTCATCATTTGACGCTACAGCACATGGAGGGGCGGCTAGATGAGGAACATGGACCGTCTGAGGAACTCTCGAGCTCCCAGTACGCGTGTCAATCTCAGCAGTTAGAGAGGGTCCTTTTAGGGGCAGCAGCAGAGGGGCTTCAACGTGTAGAGAACGATCATCATCCATACCAGTGCCATAAGCAGAACAAAGCGCAGAGTAAAAGAGATGAAGAAGGAGAACGGTGGCCAGGCGGAGATGAGGGAAAAAGGTCTGTGGTTTCCCCGTGGATTCCCATGTCACGGAATTGGGCAGACGATGAGAGGGACTCGCTACCTAAACGAGCCATCCTGGATGAAGGAAGGGAGGAGATTGACAGAGCTGGGTGTTTTCTGAGGGCCGATGGCTTTGCCAGTGACAAGGGGCGAGACGGTTACAGCGGGGGATCTAACACCGTGGGTCGGCGCGGGGTGGCGGGCGTAGATATTGAGCCGAGAGGAGGTAGCGGAGCGAAGTTCCAAGGAGGGGCTGGTGGGGCGGGATACATTTTCAGGCGCGGCGGTAATTCTACATTTTGCGATTATGAAAGTGCTTTCCTTAGCAGGAGAGGTGGCTGGGCAGAAGGGCCAGAGACACCGCTCGTGGAGTCCAGAAGGTTAGGGCACTTGGCGGCAATAAGGTCAGCGCTTTCTGGCCCTTTCAGGGAAGATATGTTCGGGGTGGATTCCGTGGGATCAAGTAGGCTGGGAAGGAGAGAAGAAGACACACGAGAATTTCATGACCCTGTGCGAGAGGCTTTTGATGCGGAGCTGGAACTAGTCCAGCTGATGCAGGAGCAGGAGAGGCAGAAGAAACAGCAGGAAAAGGAGATGGTAGCTGAAAGAGCAAGAGTTGACCAGGAAGAGCACAAGAGGAGAGAAAAAGAGGAAGAATATCTGTTGACAACAGTAAAAGAGGTGCAGGAAGTGAGGGGTTCGGCCGAGAGGGAGGTGATGGGGGAACGTGAACGTGCATTACAGATGGAGAAGAAGTTGGACGAGGAGAAGCGACAGAGGGACCTGGAGAGGCAGCGTTACGATGCGGAAGAAAGGATAAGGAGGGAGAACGCAGCGAAGAAACTTAAAGAACTGGAAGAAAGAATCGCGAGAAGAGAGGCGGAGAAAAAGAGCGAGGAAGAGCAGCAGCGACAGCAGGAGCGAAACAACGGGCAGGAACAGCGTCTCGATTTGGGCGAAGCGGAGGGAGGGGTGAGGCGAGAGGAACAAAGTTCCAAGCGAAAGGAAGACTGGAAGACGGAGGAGGATAAAATTAGGAGGAAGGAAGAGAACGAGCACAGGGGGGAGGACGAAAGACGACGGAAAGCTGAGAGGTGGAGAGAGGACGAGCAGAGGGATCCAGAGAGCAAGCGGGAGGAGGAAAGGATGAGTCAGGAAGACGACATGAGGAAGCGGGAGGAGGAGAGGATGTGTCAGGAAGAGAACATGAGGGAAGAGGCGACGATATGGGAGCCGGAGAGGGGAACGGAGGAAGATGGAGACAGGGAGGAAGAGCAGTGGAAAATGAAAGAGAGCAGGGAGGAAGAACACGAGAGAAAGGAGAAGGCTGCCGCGACGGCTCCCTTCGCGTCTGGGGCGAATAGACGCGAGGAGGAGCGCCAAAGAGGAGAAGACGATGACATGACGGAGCGGCACGGTTGTGGGTTGCTCACGGGACATGTTGGGGAAGGTTATACCACGGGTGGTAGTTACCAGGGAAGTGGCTCGCCCTCTGCAACTAGTCATCAAGACGAAGATTTACTATCACTGAGCAAAAGCAGTGGGGGTCGTTTTGCTCCTATTTCGGGTGGAGTTTACCGTCCTCCATGCTGGGGAGGATGGTCAGAGTCAGGGTTACGAGCGGATTGTCGTGGCGGTGGTCGTGGGGGCTCCGAAGTTTTCGTCCTTGACCGATTAAGGTCGTCCTCCGCCCCAAGCTGGAGGACTAATCTCTCAATGATGGAGAATGGAGTTGTAGACTCAGGTATGCCTTTCTGCTCGCCTTCTAAGAGCGTTGGGGAGTCACCTGTGTATTCTCCATTCGGCAGGGATTCAGAAGGTGATTTCCACCAGCGTTGGAATAGGGACAAGGAGAGGGATCGCGAGAAAGTGTACAATGGGAGAGGGGATGCAGTTGGAAATCACGAGGGCAGAGAGTACGGATGGACGCACGGGGTTGGACTGAGGTTAGGCAGCCCGCGGGTGAGGAGAGGAGGGGCGACAGACTCTTTTCTTGGTCGCAACGACAGGACGGGTTCCTTGCCCTTTCATGATCTGCGTTCGGGAAGTGCTGGCGACGCTGGCCCAGGCGTCAGGAAACCAGGGCCGGGCCTTTCTTCGATTTCTTATGGTGGCCTTGACATGGCGGATATGGGTGTCGGACCTTCGTCTCTGTATGACAGCCGGGATTCGGATCGCCGGCGCTTTAGGGATAGAGGGAGGGAGAGGCTGCTAATGATCGACAATCGAGGGGGAGGAGGGACGCGACGAACGCGGGAAGGATATTATCCATCCATGGCGCTTCCTCAGCCGAAGATCTCTGGGCCTTACGGTTATGGTTACCACTCAAACTCTGCCGCTAGGTCTGTGGCTCCATTGAGCGCTGGCCAGGGTCTTGGTGGGGAACTGAATCTCTCGTTGTCGTCATCATTTAGAGGGAATACACTGGGTCATGGAGGACCAGGATGGGCGGAGAAAGAGCTTGCGTCCCAAGCACGGGAGCAGGAGCGCATTGTGGATGAGGGAAGATGGCGGGCATCAGGGGACGTCACGAGCAGACTGTTGCCGGCAGAGCTTGAGGGCGACTCGACGTTGGCGGGCTTGACACGCGCTGTGAGTAAGAATGCGGAAGGTACACGGAAACCGGAAATGGAGGACAAAGAGGTTGACATTACTGCTGTGGGTGGGATTGGCCGCTACCGGCAAGAGGATTCGTCTGCGGCCTTCAGGTTGTCCGACGACGACAACAAACACAACGGATTGATTGTTTCGCCGACAAGGAAGCTGGTTGGGCAGGAGGAGGCTGAGGTGAGGAAGCCGAGCGTGAGATCGATGACTTGTCCCCACGGGCGAAATCTCAGAGGTGTTTCTCGCCTCGATGACAACGAGGAGACGGATTTGGGTGACGAGCAAGAAGAATATGATTGTAAGGTGGAGGAGGAACGACAGTCGCAGGCGCTGTCTTGCCAGCAGAAGGAAGAGGAGAAGAGGGATGGACTGCGAGGCAATGAGTGCAGAAGCCACGGCGAGGATGAAAAGTTCTCCGAGATGAACCACTTGGTGGCAGGAGGCGTGTGTCGATACGGGGATGAAGATGGTGATGACGACTGTGGTGTTGATGTGGATGCTGGCGATGTTGGCGAGACGGTCTCGTTCACTGTGGGCGACAGAGAACTCTGCTCGGATTTGGTGCGGCGGCATGTTGAAGGGCAAGGGCAGCTGCATGTTTCCGGCTCGGAAGGCAGATATAGTACAGAAACAGAAGACGAGCAAGGTCTGCAGACGGACGATTGCAAAGGACGTGAAGACATTTTGCAAAAGGTTGATGAGGTACAGGAAGACAAAACCGCATGTCGTAAAGAAGTTGAGGACGAAGAAAGGACCGCAGAGAAAGATCGCACGGAACATGCGGAGGCACTTGATTTCATTCCATCACGGTCGTCCTCTTTGTGTCTACAGCAGATAAATCAAAGCAGCCTGATTTTGACTTTGAAGAGTCGCCCAGGCACGCCGGTGATGTCCCTCGCATTAGATCAGCAAGGGAGCGGAATGCTGGGAACGAGTCCAGAGGAAGAAATGGGCCATCAGGAAACCTTTGCACCTGAGCAGCATGAGCGCCATCAAAAAATGCACCTAGAGCAGCATCAGCTGCTAGTCATAGGGCAAGGATTATCTTTGCAAGGCGTGGTGTCAACGATACCGGCCGACCAGGAGCAGCAGCAGCAGGCGCAGGTGGGTTTCCACAGTGGGAAAGAGCAGTGTCGACAACAGCTGCAGGAGGGTTCATTTGTACCAGCGATCGCACCCATGATGCAGGGACAGTTGCTTCAGACAGCGGCACCTCTTGCAATAGTGGTGTCCTCGCAGCAGGCTCCACAGACACATGTGCAGCAACAGCATTATCCTCCTCCACTTCCGCAGTGCCTTTCGTCATCACCAGTTTCACAGCAGCAACTCCAACAACAGCTTTTCCAGCAACCGCAATCATCCGAGCAAAGTACTCTTGTTGCGGCAGAAAGCCCTGCATTACGGGGGACGGCTGCTGGACAGGGGGAACATAGCACGGTAGCTGCTGCAGTTTCCTGTCAGCAGCAGCACCAACAGCAGCGATTGCAGGATCTGGTCTTAGAGCACGAGTTCGAGAATATTCAACAGCACCACCAGCTGCAACAACAGTTTGTATCACTTCCACAGTCGACGTCGACCTTCCCATGTATGTCTCGGCCACAAGAGCAGCCACAGACGCAGGCACATGAGGGGTTGGGGGGAGTGGGTGCAGCTGGAGGAAACCTGTTTACTGCAGCAGCAGTTGCCCCAGGTGGGGAAGCAGCCGCAGCTGGAGGCCTGCTTCCTGCATCAGCGATCACCCGGCCGCTGGCTCTGGGTTTCCAGACGTCGTTGCCCTCTTCCATTCATGTGGGCTCAATCCCCTTGCAGCTGACACCACCCCATGCCCCACATCTGATGTCCTCGCTTGGAAGTTTACCACATTCTATGCTTTTCCCTTCGCTTGCCTCACATCATCAACAGACATCTCTTCCGCTGATAGCTCCGTCTCTCCCTCTGGCGGGTCAGGTCTTGCTCCAGTCTGCACACCAGGAACAGCAGGGCCAGTCGCAGCATCTGATCCAGCAGACGACTGATTCATCAATGAGGATTCCTGTTGGTACTCGGCATCACGATTGTCAGCAGCAGCAAGATGCAGCGTCAGCTCAGGTTCTTCAGCAGCAGCAACAGCAGCAATTGGCCATGATATCACTGCAAAGGGAAGTGCGGGAGGCAGGCATGCTTGGACAAGAGCAGTCCATAGTTGTGGTGCAGGCTCACCAGCAAGGACAGCAGCATGAACGGACTCAGTGGCAGCAGTCGCAGCAACCACAACAACGAGTGGAAAGGCAGCAAAGCCTTTGCATGACGGTATTACAACAGCAACATCAGCAGATTCCGCAGCAAATGCTGGCGCCTCAACATCTGCAGCAGGGATCTCTTCAACCCCCCCCCCCCCCCCCGCTGCAGCAGCAGCTGCAGCAGCAGCAGCTGCTGCATCAACAGCTGCAGCATCAGATGCAGCAGCTGCATCAGCTCCAACAGTTGCACCAGCATCAGCAGCTGCAACTCCAGCATTTGCAGCGGTTTCATCAGGCCCATGCTTTTCAGGCTCCAACCGCTCTCTGGGGTAATTTTCCGTTGCTTCCTACAGCAACGTGCCTTGTACCGGACCCAAAGATAGCTACAGTTCAACCCGATTCTCAGGTGGATGCTTTGTTGACGGATGTTGCTATTAATAATAGGCAGCTTGTGCAACACCGGGACGAACACCAGGAGGAGCAGCAGCAGGAGCAGGGGCAGGAGAGGCTTGGTGGAGATGGAGAGAGACGGCGGCAGCAGCAACGGCAGTGGGAAGAAGAAGCAGACGAGATGAAGGTGGTTACTCCTGCTGTTTTGATTGCCCCGGCCATTGCAAGTGGAGAGGTAGCAAGCAAGGGGACTGCCACTACCACAACGTATGCCACGTCCGTGGTTGCTGTTGCTAGGATTGGGGCTGCACCTGTAGAGATTCAAGCATGCAGTGAGAAGCGAAGAGTGGCCAATGGGTCCTCAGGCAAGCAGCCAACTTCCCTGTGTTCCAGACTTTCGCAGGAGAATGGTCGCAACCTCATGGGCTCGGGAATATCACCAATTTGCAAAGTTGCGGCTATGACAGCTTCAGCAACGGTGACACCTTCAGCACTGGTGACACCTTCAGCAATGGTTACTTTAAAACAGAACGAGGGAGAGAAGATGAGCGCTCCAGAGAGCGTGGACAACATCTCTGTAGATTTGGCGGGAGGAGGTCAACGTGACATGTCGCTGGAAAAGCAGCAGCAAAGACTGTTCTTTGCACCAGGAGTAGGCGGCAGAGGCTGGGGTGTAGACGGAGCAGGAGGGTGCCACAGCAGAGGGATGATTGGGGGATGCATGAGAGGCGGTGGTGCACTTGGGCGAGGCAAAGGAAGAGGAGGAACGGGAGGGAGCTATGGCCCTGCCTTAAGATCCGCTGAGAAAGCTGACAGCAATGTCCCTGGGAATTGCCTAAGAGGACAGCAAGAAAATTACAGTGAGATAGGGGGCAGAGCTGGATTACACCGGGATGGAGGCCAAGTACGAGGAAACATGAGCATTGGGTCAGGAATCACCTCGGCTGTGAGCACCAGCGGTGTCGTATTACGCACAAGGCCCAGTCAGCGAGGCATGAAGAGATCTGGTGAGCTGAGGAACAGAGAGAAGCGCTGGGTTGCCCCTGAGCGGAGAAGAGTACCTGCTCATGATAATGGAGATGGTGGTGGCGGTGGTGGTGGCACCTCTGGCAGGTGGACATGTGGCAGGATGGGGGATTCCATGAGAGGAGGTGCATCACAAGCAGGAGGGCTGCTCAGTTGCAGGGTTGTAATGGAGCATCAGAGAGAAGAAATTGAAAGGATGATGAGCGGGGATGGTAAAGAGCAGGACATTGTACATGATAGCAGGAAAGGCGAGCATAAAAAAACACAGCCATTCCGTCAAGGTGACAGTAGTGTCGTTACTGCTGCTGCTGCCGAGGCAGATGGAAGTGGTAGTGAGGTTAAGAGGACGATGGGGATCAGGGCAAAGAACTTTGGAAGTGGCAGTGCAACAGATATGGATTCTCAAAAATTATTGTCGAAGCAGATGATCGATACGGTGCCAGCTGCAGCCGTGAGAAAAGACATAACTAGCAAACATGGCGAGAAAGGAGGGCTTGTGGAAGTGCTTGCAGCATGTTCTGCAGAGGTTGGCAGTGCAGGAATGTACTTTGTGCCAGAGGCGACTGAGGCCCCTCTTCACACTGGGGTCGTGCGGGTCTTTGAGCAGCCAGGAATAGAGACAGTGGCTGACAACGATGATTTCATCAAGGTCAGGTCGAAGAGGCAGATTTATAATGACAAGAAGGAACAGCGTGTGAAGGATAACAGGTGCAGGAACAAAGACACGAAGGTAGGTTGTGTACTTGCTATCTGAAAACACCTGGATGGTGGATGATTAACAAATGGATGAGAGGGTTGCAAGCGGTGGAAGTACATGAATCGGTTGTTGGAAGAGGTTGCACGTAATGAGGATAGTGGTTTCCTCAACTTCCCTGTCACGGATGAGTGCCGGGAACAGACTGTCTCTAGCCAATGGTAAACTATGGTATGAGTGGTCAGTCGTGGATAGTTGGATAGGTGGTGAGCGGAGTAGTTTCCTGTGGCTGCTGGGTGATTGGTTGTCAGGATAGGACGAACTAATGGATGGCTAGTAGATTGCCAGTGGGAGTTCGGGTGTCCAGGGATGGGTGGTGGTGGGCGACCGTGGGTGATGAATAGGTGGATGGACTGTGCAACTGGGTGCTATGGGCAACTGGATACATGGGTGGTTGAACAATGTGTGAGACAAGCAGGGCATTGAATACTGGATTAGTGACAAGTGGTGGGTTTGATACGGAAGTGGTTATTGGGGAGAATTAGTATGCGTTGTGCAAGTGGGCAGATAAGTGGTGGGTCCTCTGCTCTCATTGGTTAATGAGTTGATGGCCAGGTTCATGCAACTGGGTCTGGCTGATATCATCCTTTGGTGGTTAATTGCCTTCAAGTCGCAAGTGGAGGTTGAATGGATGGTGAGTGGGTTGATGACCCGGTTTATGCAAACTTAGCTGAGGCATAGTACCAGTGAGACCAGACCTGAACTCCTTTTGTCCAGTTTTTCATGCCTTACAGGACACTACAACCGAGGAAGTTGTAGCCTGCTCTCTCTCGGAATGGTTGAGCTACATGTGTGGAATTGAACAGGAGATATTCCACCAGATGGCGGCATTAAGTAATGGAGTGGACAGCTGATTGATCTGCATTTCTTGCTTTGTGTTTCTTTGTTGGATGTGACAACGACCAGTCCAAAGAGCAGGAAAAGGGAGGAGGAGGTGCTGGACATGGTCGAGCCACGGTTGTGCAGAAAGTTACAGTAGCAGGCGGACAGTTTATTGGTAGTGGAAGCGAAGGTAAAATAGTCACCGAATCACTCAGTGGTATTCCTGCAGAAAATGGGCTTCTGCATAGCAGCAGCAGCAGCTTGGGCTCAGGAGGGGACACGGGAGTCTGTCCGTTGAGTATTGACAGTGGTGATGCTGCTAACTTTCTGGACAATTCTATCGTTCATCCATCACCTCCTGTTGTACAACAGTGGCAACAGCAGCAGCAGCGGTGGGACCAAGAGCAGCAGCTGGAGCTGGGTGCAAAAATGAGTGCTAATCACCGCCATTCTGCAACACCATTATCAACCCTGACACCTACTCTGCATGCTATGCCCAAGAGTAATCCTGTGACCAATGAGAGTCAGGGGAAGTCAATGCGGTATGCTTTCAAATTTTCTCTTCACGAATGGACAACCCTAATCTTAGTCACTGCGGACCCTGACATTTTTTTTTGATTATTAGCACTGTACTGGAGGCATGAATCAATATGCATTGCATCATTGTGCATTTTCCATCTCCGTTGCCCTTCCTGCATTTTTAATGCCCAGTTTCCCTCTTCCCCCAGATTAATGCCCCCATGGATCCATCATGTGTAGATGGTGGGATGACCGGTCCACGTTAAATACTCATTTGATGTGAAAGCGAAAGAGAGATGGAGTCAAAGAGCAACATGGATGGATCCCATTTGGCACAGTACTAAGTGCAACAAATGAAGAGCGAAAAGCAAAAGCAGAAGGAATCGGATCTTTACATAGTATGTTGACTGCGTTGTACAGTGCCTTCACAATAGAGATCTCTTCCTACTGCTGCCGTGTTCACCGTCAATGATGACCCTTGCGGTACCTCTACAAGCTCACGTCTTAATCAGCTCCTTGACAAGCCTCACTCCTGAAATGGCATGTTTCATGACTGTAGCTCTCTTCTTGAGCATATTCTGATGAGAGTGAGCTACCCAGCAAGTGAATGCAAGGATTGCTAAGTGAGCGTACGAGTCCCAACGTCCAAGCTTTGATAGGTTGCATTGAGAAATGGATGGATCAAACGTATTGGTATGGATGGTGTAGCGAGGTCAAGAGATGTGCACTTTGAGGTATGGACCAGATCTGTTGGTTTCCATGTATGAGAAATAAAATTAAATAATGCTACTTCTCTGTTCCTGGAGATATGGAATAAAAGCCTTGGCCTTGGCTTGCAGGTGTTTACTGGACGTGGAACCCCTAGGCAACTGCTTGCCTGGTGTTGACCACTGTAACTTGACTGGTTCTGGGTCCTTTTCTTCCCAGGATGAGCGTGGGGATCGAGTCACATGGACTTGGCCAATGCAAGCTCTCACTAAGTATCTCTTAGCAATTTGAGTGTAAAGCATCTTGTGATTCCCACTGACACCCCTTTCCCCACAACATGTGTGTAAAGTTGTAAACCATATTCAACTCCTCTGACAGGTGACAGTCTTGAAATATAGTAACAGGTGACCAGCCCCAGGTAGCTCAAGATCATTGTCATTGTGATTGTTGTAAGGTCATTATTGTCCAGATTACCGAGAGGGTTATCTGTCATGATTATTTTTACTGAACTTCCGTTATGACAGGTGTTCAGGGTTCATGCCTTACAGAGTATCCTGAGTAAATCCTGTCAACTGTGAGAGGCATGGTATTCGGTATTCAGGGTTCAAGCCTTACGGAGTATCCTGAGTGAATCCAGGGTCTCAACCCTGATAGACATTGTATTCTGAGCCATGAATGTCAGATAGGTGTCATCAAGCCACGAATGTCAGATCGGGTGGTTCTGACCAGAATTCAACAACAGAATTCTTAGGTATGTCCTGTCCCAACTAGCTATAGTAGCCTCAGGGCCTGAGCAGGGCCTCCCACCACATACTACAGTGTCACACCTGGTGACGCAGGGCACTTCCTCAGATCTCTCTACCAAACAAAGCTCCCACATAGCTATGGTTTACAGCATGGTGCAATTAACCCTGCGAACTGACCACTGTTGTTTTGCCCTCAGATGTTAGGCCATTCAAAATGATGGCAGCCAGTCTTGAACCAAGCACCTACTCGGTGCTACTCAGGCATGAAACCTACTGGCTAGCCTCGCGGTTGTATGTGTCAGGTATCTTTATCACCCCCATTGATGACCACCACACTACCCCCCAACACATGTGAAAGCATCTTGTGATGCCCGTCAAGGCCCCACTGGCTTGAGGGCGGGTAGCGGGGGGTCAAGGAACACAGACATTTTCCTATATGGGCGTGTGAGGGACTGCCTTGGCTATTTGCCCGCGACACAGGACGTTTGTTATAATGACCCTGAAAAAACCCTGAAAGTTTAGGGCTCTGTTAACCACTTCTCGCTAGAGAGAGAGAGAGAGAGAGAGAGAGAGAGAGAGAGAGAGAGAGAGAGAGAGAGAGAGAGAGAGAGAGAGAGTGTTCCTCTGAGCGTGAAAAGTCACTGAAGTTGGAGGACTTTTTCTGTTGGTCCACATGCGGGGAATGAGCCCTCGCTAGGCCCTTCTCGGGCATGCAAATGTTCTGGGCTGCGGCCCCCAGCAAGCCCTGTGCGCCCCCTAAGTGAAGGCGGGCCTGTACATCTACGTGAGGCTATTTTTGACATTTTTTGTAAGTGGGGTGTCAGACAGTTGCCGCACGCCAGTTGGTTACAGAGCAAAGTCAGCCTCTCCTGGCTCTTTCCAGACAGCAGCTGCGATGTACATTTGAGCCCAGGGCTCAGGTAGTTGCACCCTGGGCACACGCAGTGGGAGGCCAACACATCACGCAGAGGCCGCGGGCCAATGAGAATGCAGCATTGTCCTCACACATCTACCGCGAGTCAATGAGAATGTGGCAAACACTTGGAGCCTGGAGGGAAGCCTGGATGTGCCCAACTGCAATGGGCCCAGGCCCGTAACAGCAAGGGAGGTCTGGGCGCAGACACACTGGGGCCCGACTGGAAGCTACTGGAAAGCGGCTCAGCCAGGCCCACACAGCCAGAAACAGGGCCAGCACTTTCCATAAAGGAAAGTGCCCTGCCCAGCAGGCACAGCGGCCACAGTGCTGCATTCCCAAGCGCTGCTGCGTTTGCGCTAGCCGGCCAGGGTGCGCGCGGGCGCAGAGAGGTGAGAGGGCACTGCGGTGGAAGCGGGCGCTTGGCGGCCATAGCCGGGCGGAGCGTGCGGTGGCAGGTGATGGCGATGGTGGTCTTCGAGTAGGAGGCGCATGCAGATGGGAGACAGGGTGTGATGAGGGGAGGAGAGAGAACGTACCTGGTGTATGCTGGCGGTCTGCATTGGTGTTGACGTCACGTACAGTGGTCTTCAATGTCGAAGTGATCCAGTTGCATGAATGTAGATAGGATAGATAGGCTGAGTACTGTAGGCTGGGCGCTGAGCGCCAGACAGTAAGAGCGATGTTGGATATTATGTTGGTGTGGCCAGAGAGCATCGGCATTGACATTTGAGTTCATTGTATTGCTCTTATTCGGATGGTATCTTGGTGCATTGTGCTTTCTGCTTGGTACATGACTATCTGGACTTGAGCGTGATTTTGCAATTTGGATTTCTGTCTATCGCTCTGACTCATATTCCTTGCACACACATGGCTGAGTGGCAAAAATGGAAAACACACCGAATTAGCGCTGCGATTATTGTGTGGTCTTGATGTTTTTTTTTTTTTTTTCCTCATATTTTTCTTGGAAAGGCCACGACCTGATCTTACGGATTCTCAACATTTTAGAATTTTCTGCGAATTCTGCTGAGCACAAAAAATCGCCAAATTTGCCTGCTGCAAATTTGCAACGGGACTGGACCCGCCGGTACCCTTTTGTGGACCTTATTGAAGGGAGGGCGAGTCCTATTTTGCGACGGTGCTGGTTCTAGTAGATCTGCCAGTCCCCAACAATTCTTACCCCAAAAGAACCCGCTTGTTCGCTGGTCACCCGCTGCCGAAAACGCGACACCTTGACACGGACACCATGGCCTACTATACCGCAGCCTCAGGGCTGTGAACTGAACGGAGCCTCAGCTCATCAACAGGTAACTATGGTCTAGAGTAGGGTTAGAGGGAACGGATTTCCGTGTGTTATGTTTCTTCTGCCTTGTTTCAGTTTCATCCTTGATATTGAACCTGCCATATTGTGTATCAAGGGCTGTAAACTCTTGCATGTGTGCACTTCAGTGGAAACGAGGGTGATTTCCGTGCAGTTCGTGCCTCTGGGAACAGCCACAATTCCCAAATTATGTAAAAATCGTACTTGTGGTGCGTGTTGTGCATGCGCATCGCGTACATGTGGTGCACAACGCATGTACACCCTTGCACGCACACGAGGTGCAGCACACCCCTGACAATAGGGTGTCAGAAAAAGAAAAGGAATGGGAGGAGCCTGGGGAAACACCCCTCTCCTCCCTTAATAAAAAACGCACGAATTATCTAAAAACCGTACTTGCCATGCACTTTATGCACGCACGGCGCGACGTGTGGTGCACAGCGTATGTACACCCTTGCGTGCACACGAGGTGCGGCACACTCCCAAAAATAGGGGCTCCCCCAAAAAAAGGGAACGGGAGGGGCTGGTGAAACACCCCGCTCCTCCCTTGATAAAAATATGAGATCGCTAGGGAAAACAAATCCAGGTGGCACTCGACAGCGGCCCCGAAAAGTTTGACAGTGTGGGTATCTGAGAGATGAGAGTCCGCAAGTGCTCTTTCAGCTCCTGTACAATCATTATGTGTGTCAGTTTTGCTCTGGAAAATGACTAGTTCGGACAGTTCTGACGACCGTTTTTTTTTTTTTCTTCTGTTTTTAGCGTTTTCTTTTTTGTTTTTGCTAATTATAAGGAAGGGCATTTTTTTGAATAGCGAAGCTCCATGCGGTTCGTGGCTCTCCATTTCTGAATGCATCCGCATCATCTTTCAGGTCAGATACAGTTATAATGAGTGTGCCCTGTGATCTCATTAAAACTACCATGTCCAACACAGCACATACCCTCGTCATGACCGTATAGAACCTGAAAAATACTTTGCATACATTGTCACACACACAGTGGGTGTCATTCCTTAGGGCTGCTCTTTTGGAGCACATGGAAGAATGGGGTAGCTTCTAGGGTGTTTTAAGCAGTGTCGTGTGGACATCTTGGGGAATTTGGCATGGTACTCGCAGTGGCCTCGCTGTAGCACTAGGATATCATCTGATTCTGTAGGTTGTGCAGCAGGGAGAGGTTCATGGCACTCTTGGTGTTGAGTACAGGTCCTGCGGTGTATTTTTGATTTGTGGTGACGGTGTAGGCCGTCGCAGAGGGCGCTAAATTTGATTTAGACTTGGCATGTGTGGTCGGTGCTTTCTTGTTAGTGGAGCCTTTTGTGTTATGCTGTTGGGTTTGTTTAAT